GGAATGTCTATCTGCTGTGTTTCCAAAGCTCCAGCACACGGTATGGGGTGTTCAACACATGCTACCCGTGATCATCCTCGGGGCATGATTTAACCGACACACGGATTAAGTATCTACTGTGTGCTGAGCAGTTGAGTCAAGACCTGAAGGAGGTGAGGAAGGTTAAATTCCCGCATCCCGCATCAGACCTAGGGTAGGACTGCGTCCTTTTCTTCTATTCCGGAATCCTCAGCTCCTCACCAGCGCCTGGCAGGTGGTAGGGGCGCCCTGAATGGGGCGGGGCATCGGGCCTGACCTGAGTTCAGAGCCTGAGATGGTGGGGCCGGCCTCCGCGCACACTCACGTCCTGCAGCAGCTTCTCCAGGTTCTCCTGCAATTCATAGAAGTAGACGGTAGTGATAAGACCATCGCGGGACTTGGTCAGGCAGTCCCGGGCCAACTCGATGATCTGGTGGTGGATGAAGCTGAGCACACCGTCGGCCAGCGGCAGCACGCTGTCAGGTTCGTAGGCGCGGGTAAAGTCGCGCAGCTTTTCTTCCATCTGCGCGGTGGCCTGCGGGAGGGACCAAGACAGGGCGGAGGTCCCATTGCCAGGCAAAGCCCTGAGGCTGTCGCCGCCGAGACTGTGCTGCGCGCGCGGGCCACCAGGGGGCGCGCGGAGCCAAGGCGAGCGAGCGAGTGCCCCCGCGGGCCCGCCTCCCCTTGGCCTCCCAGTGCCCGGTCTCACCTTGGGGAACCGCTCCTTATAGACATGGTTCATCATCACGATTTCGTTATCGTAGGAGGAGGGGGAGCGGCCGGGGCTGTGGGGAGAAAAGCCCATTCTGTTTATCCCCCTGCCTCCGAGCCAGTCCTAGATCCACTTTATTTTTACTGTATTTTAAATATTTTTTGGAACTGGGGATTGAACCCAGGGGCACTCTACCTACTGAGCCACATTCCCAGCCTTTTTTTAAAAAATATTTTACTTTGCGACAGGGTCTCGTTAAGTTGCTTTGGGCCTTGCTAAACTGCTGAGGCTGGCCTCGAACTTGCGATCCTTCTGCCTCAGCCTACCAAATCGCTGGGATGATAAGCATGCCCCACCGCGCCCAGCCCTAGGTCCACTTTATTTTCTGGGGACCTGGGTCCCTCAATGCACAAGTCCCCAGACCGCTAGCTTGCTGGGGGGGGGGGGGCCTTCCTACCTGAGGCTCCGCGATCGGGGTCGCACGGCCGGGGAGCGGCGGCCCCCATCCTCGTCGGTGATGCTCTCAGTGCTGCCGAAGTGCTTGGACAGGAAGTGGAGCTCGTCCACGGTGGGCTGGTAGGGGAGCTGGTGCAGGCGCTCCTGGGAGGAGCAGGAGGACTAGGGGGAAGGGTGGGGTCGGGATCAGTCACTGGAGCAGCCACAGTGGGCTGAGGGGAGGATGAGCCACTAGACAAGGCCAGGTTCACGCCATAGATCCTGACCCTGGCCTTATGGTTTATGATCCTTAGACCCCAGGGACCTGGCTGGGACTCCTGGCAACAGTCAGGTGAACAGAGACAGATGAGGCCACTGACAGAGACATGGAAATGGCTCCCACCTGAGTCCTCCCCTCTAGATCACAAGATCCTGCCCCATCTGGCCCTGTTTCCGGCCACTGCCCCCTCCCACTCTCCCCCTTGCTTGCTCTGCTCCTGCCATACTGACCTCCTTGATCCTTCAGCAAGCCAGGCAGGCTCTGGCTTCAGGGAACATAGCTGCTTGACTCACACCTTCCCCTCCACATCTTTGCCTTAATGCCGTCCTATCCCGTGTTTACTGCTTTATCCCCTGACACACTACACCCTTTTTATTTATTTGTTACTGCTGTCTATTCCTCAAGAACAGGGATTTGGCCCTATTTGGTCCCTGGTGGACAGGGCCTGGCATCAACTGGGACAGACCCACAATCACCATTGGGGACACACAAGGACATCCATATGATCTGGCCTGCATTCAGAATAGGCTTTTTAATTTTTTTTTTTAGTTGTAGATATCAATATCTTTATTTATTTTTTAACCTGGTGCCTCATACATGCAAGGCAAGTGCTCTACCACTGAGCTTCAGCCCCAGCCCTCAGAATAGGCTTTTTAAATTCCACATCACCCACTCCCTGCTTAAAACTCCTCATATCTAGCAGGATGTAGTGGTACCTGCCTGTAATTCCAGATACTTGGGAGGCTAAGGCAGGAGGATTGCAAGTTAAAGGCCAGCCTCAGCAATTTAGTGAGACCCTAAGCAACTTAGCAAGACCCTGTCTCAAAAAAAAATTTTTTTTTTGTTAAGGGTTAGGGATATAGCTCAATTGTAGAGCAGGCCCTGTGTTCAATCTCTAGTGTCAGGGGAAAAAAAAAACAAAACAAAACTCATCCACATCTATTTTTATAAAATAGGGGCTGAGTATGTCACTCAGTGGTAGAGAACATGCTAAGCACATTCCTTGGAACCCATGTTCCTGGGTTCCGTCTCCAATTCCACACATATAACAAAGGCATACTATCTGTGAACTACTAAGTGACAATTTTAGGTTGTTCAAACTGAAATTTTAATACAACTTAATATGGAGCAATATAGTTGTTCTAGAGTTTCTCCATTGGATTTAGAATATAATCCACCTCCATGTTCTGGTCCCAGAAAGATTGAGGTTGCTGCCTGCATCACCTCTCTTTCTCCCTCTCCAACCCAGCGCTCCACACAAGGCTACTTTCAACTTTCCAAATACAGCAAGTTTTCTGTGGCCTCTGGGGTCAGCACAGCTGTCCCCCTTCCTGGAACAGCCTTCTCCCTCTCTTCCACCTGCCAAACTCAAGCTGACACTTTGTCTTGGCTTCAATGCCACCTCTTCCAGGAAGTCTTCCATGAAGCTCCCCCAAGCTGAGTCGCATGCCCCCCCCACCAAATGACAGTCACATGATCTTTGTCGCTCAACAGCATACCAGAGACAGGAGTAGGAAAGGGGGCAGATGGAGAGGATTTTGAGGGATTGGGAGTGGGGAAAAGCAAATGGGTTCTGGGCAAAACCTGTGGCCTGGCTGCAGCTGGCTGCAGGCACCTGGGCAAGTGGCTTAACATTGAGAGTTTGAGCCTCACCATCTACAAATGAGTTGGAGCTGAGTAGAACTCCCAGGAGGATGCGCCGGGGCAGAGACCAGGGCTTTCGTGGTGGGGACTGCAACTCTCTAATAGATGGACAAGTGGACACCCGTGACGAACAGAAAGTGCAGCCTGGGGCTGGCCTGGGCGGCAGGCTACAGGTGGAAGGGCCCCTCACCCCGCAGCCACTGCACCACCACACTCACCGAGACGGTGGAGCTGGGCGTGTTGGTGCCATAGCCAGATGAAGGGAGCGAGGCCAGCGACCAGCGACGTCCATCGGCCCTGGAACCCAACCGAGGTGCTCAGAGGCCACCAGGCCCCATAGGTCCCCCATTCCTTGGGGAGTGGGAGAAGCCACTAGCTATGGCCAGGGCAGGGGTGTGGGACTCTAACTGGACTCTGTGGCTACTGACAGCCCTCGGAGTTAAGGGAGCCGCGAGGTGGTCTTCTGGCCATGCAACTGCGTCTTCTCAGAAGCTCCCGTCTCCTCTGTCCCTCCTCGTGATCCTCCCTTGCTCGGTTTTATCCCCACTCCAAACAAGCCCTCCAGAGGGGACCCCAGGAGCCTGGAAGAGCCCACCTAAGGAAGTCAAGCTCTGGGATCTCAGAATCCGCCTCTAGGGAAGCTCCTCCCTGAGAGCCCCCCCCCCACAGCCTCACTCCCATGCCCCGCACTCTCTGGACATGCACAGGGACTCCCACCACACCCTCAAGTGTTAGTGTGACTACTGTGGTCAAGTTCATGGACTTACAGCCAGTCATTCTTACTTCACACCACACACACACACACACACACACACACACAAGTGCACACACACATGGTCCTCAGCACACTCCTCACCTACATTCATCATCCTACATATGGACCCAAATACACATGCAAGCACAGACATTCACTCATATACACTTGCAGAGACCCAAGACACACTCACACATACACATCAGCTCACACACACTGTACATTTGCACATTCATGCAGAAGCACATCTAAGACTGTCTTAGCGCAACACATTTAAACTCACACAGCTGCATGCTCACACACACAGATGCACGTTTCCATAGATACATGCAGGCGGCGCGTGCTCCTCACATCTATGTGCTTGCTCACACACGCATTCACACTCCCAGTTCATATACTCTCCTGGAGACACTCGGGGAGTGCACCTCCACAGAGTCACACACAAGTTCACACACATGGATGTACATACCCAGGGAGGCATGTGTGGGCTCACACACACACTTGCACACAGCCACACAGACAGCACAGTCAATGGACACACACTCCCATATTCCTTCCTCCCCACATGCCCTGGCTCAGCCCACCCACCATCCAGATGAGCATAGCAGGACAACCCTAGAGCTTGGTCCTGGCTCCCTATTGCCCCCACTTAAATTCCGTCTCTCCCGTCCCCACCAGCCCTGTGACACCTGCCCCAGACTTCATCAGTTTTTGCAATGCTCCCCGTTCTCTGCCCACCCCACTCAATACTAAAAGTAGAAAGGTGTCATTCACCTCGAATGTGTAGCTCCTAGCACATGCTGGTGTTCAGACACCGTTTTTTGGAATGCATAAAGTTCAAAGAAAATGAGACCCGCCCCGACTGCTGGTGACTCCCCAAAACTTTCTCCAAAAAAGATGACCTTCTCTACCTCCCCCCAAAAACTCATTTAAGGTTGCAACACAGGCCCTCAGAAAACCTCCCAGGGAAACCTGAGTCCTCGCGTTGGGACCTGGAGAAATGGCCGGCCATAGCCACCCTCCCCCACCTCAGAGACCAACTCCCTCCATGGGCATCACGCAGTCTGCGCTTGCGCACCTGGTCTCAGCTACCCTGTCCTGTTGCTATGGAAACAACCGGCCAGGAGCCGGGCTGGGGAGGAGACCCTGGGCCCAGAGCGCGCACGCGCTCTCACGCTGAAGCAAGAAGGCCCGGCACCCTTTCCCATTCAGCATCGGCGATTGGCCCCGCCCTTTAATAGGCCCCGCCCCTCTGTCTGGGCGCTCCTTTCCGCTGGGACCTTGGGGCACTCCACTGGTCCCCTCAGGCCCCAGATCGGGTAAATTAGGAGGAGAACAGATGGCGACGCAGACGGTGGGTGGAAAGGGCCCTGACACGGTTCTGGGACCCTCAAGGGAGGGACTCACCTTCGGGAGGAGGCAAATGAGAAATGGGCGGGGGTATTGGGAGAGAAGTTGCGGGGACTGTCCAGGGGGCTGCTACCTGTGGTGGAAAGAGAGGATGTTTTTGGCTTGAGGTGTGGGGCGATTCCCATCTGGCCATCTAATAACCAAAGAGGGTTGCAAACAGCAGCCCATCTCCTTTAGTCTAGTCCCACCCATGTATGGTAGGCCACGCCCCTTTGGTTGTGGCCCCGCCTCTCCAAACATTTTTAGGTGGAAGGTTTAGTTTTAGTTTTAACCTTCATCTGAGATGACCCCCGCCCTTTAGCTATGGCTCCTCCTTTCATCTCTACCCGCTTTCCAATCCAGCTTCTCCTGAGCCTCTGCCCACCCATGCCCTTCACTCCACCGACTGACCACGCCATTACAAGGATAGCCCTGCCCCTTGTTCAATCCGAGTCCTCCTCTTTCCAGACAGCCCCTGCCTTCGGTATGGCCATGCCCCCGAAACTAGGTCTCCTATAATCTGGTCCACCACACCCATCAAAACTGCACCACTGGTCTCACCCAAGTGGCCCGGCAGTGGGGAATGGGGTCGAGGCAGCGTAGGTGAAGTGCTGGTCAAGATGAGGCTTTTCCGGTTACTGGTGCGGCAGCTGTGCGGAAGGTGGGGGGGGGGCAGGACAGAATGCAACCCACTGAGTTCCTGCCCATCCAGCCACCCTCCCATCTCAGATCCTCACTTCTCTCCCATCCAGGTGTGTTTGAAGGCGCCCCGGGAGGACTTCTTGGAAGAGGAGGCAATGGAAGCCTCTGCAGTACCATGTGTGGCAGGGGAAGCACGTGAAACCTACTTGAGACACTCCCAGTGTAGATTATGTGTGACCCTCTGGAACCCAGTGTCAACTACAGTGTGACAGTCATGGTGATACCACTGATGATCCTGGGAGTGTGTCCTTGGCTCTGTGCTTGACATTCAAGTGTGTATCCATGTGTGGCATCCACTGTATGAGTTCAACATTGTGTGACACTGTGTGCATCCAAGAGTGACATCATGTGTAACCCAGTTGTGCTTTGGGGGTCTATGTGAGACAGTATGAACTTGACTTGTCCGTGACTATGTGTTCTGTACAATGCATGATGAATGAGTTCATGTGTTTAAGATTTGGTGGAGCATTCTGAATCTTTGCAAGATACTGGCCTGTATCTGTGTGTCACATTCACCATGTCTGGCATCTTCGGTGTGTGAGTTTAACATCTTGTGACACTGGGCATGTCCAAGCATGTCACCATGTATGACATTCCCTGATGAGTCTTGAGTGTGATAAAGCATGGTTTTGTGTATTTCTCTGTCTCTGCAAGATTCCCTGTGTTTGTCCTGATATCAGTGTGACACAGCAAATGACATGACTGGGGATGATATCTTGTGTTTTGACATCGTTAGGTGCATGGATGTGTCATCACCACACATGTATCTGTGTGCATCTTGGATAGCAAGACTGTGTTTGTTAATGGCGATGCTTGTGACACACATTTTACTAGGGATACATGATGTTGTATCTGTGGGTTTACAAGTCTATGTGTGACACCACTGATGTCCCCGTTTGTGTATGGCTTTGACCTGTGGCTGATGCATGCCTGGTTGTATGGCTGGGTATGTGTGGCACCTCCCGGCATATCTGGGCCACTAGGACTGTTGTGTGTGTATGTGTGTGTGACATCATGTCCTGTGTGACGCTGTGTCACTATATTCAATGTGAGGCTATATTGGGGGGATCTGAGCTATGATACAAGACCCCCTTTTCTTCTGCCTTTCAGGACACCAGCTCCTGAAGAGGGAGCCCCCAGCCCCTCCAGCCCCTCCACCCTCAGCCGCAGTGACTGAGCACATTAGCCCGTCCAGGAGCACGCGGCATGGGAGTGGGGGGAGGCCAGGCTGCGGCTATTGTTCTGAGGGTGCCAAGCCCCCACCCTCCCCTTCTTTCCCAACACCCACCAGGCTGGCAAAGCCCGTAGCACCAGTAGACAAAGGCTCTGCAACCCCCACCCGGCCAACCCCTCCCCCTGCGGCCATCTATCCAGTTTGCAGTCCCCCTGCTCCCGACCCGCACCGCCCAAATTGAATCCCATCCCGGCGGGAAGGCGAAGCGCGGACACCTCTGGCGCAGCTGGACAGGGAGCTGCATCCCGGGCCCCGCCCTGCTGCAGCAGCCTAATGGGCGGCTTTACGCTGAGGGCCGGGACAAGGTCTGGGGGTTCGGGGGTCTACCTCTTGGTGCGGCGGAACATACTGCCGCCGGGGAAGGAGGGCATCGAGAAATTGGAAAGCGCGGTCCAGAGAGAGTCAGACATGACCCGGCGGCGGCGACATGGTGGCAGGTGCGGCAGCAGCAGCGGCGGCGGCGCGGGGAGCGAGCGCGTGGGGCGGAGGCTGGAGCCGCAGCGGCCAGGGGAGGGCGGGGGAGGGGAGGGCCCTGCGGCTGCAGCCGGTCGGGAGGGGGCGCTGCTGTGTGTCCGCGCGCCCCGCCCCGCCTGCGCGCGCGCCTGGCGCCCCCACCCGGGCCGAAGAAAGGGCAGCCAGAATAGTGCGTCTCTTTCCAAGGCTCACCTGCTGCTTTTCCGGGGCAAGGGCAAATCCTTCTGGAAAGGAAAGGGGCAAAAAGATGGAGGTCAGCGTGGACCTGTAGCCACTACTCACAAGGCCACTGAGCAAGCCCAAGGAACAGAAGTAACGTGGAATCGTCTCGTCAGCATCTTCACCTTCATCCTTGGCCATGCATTGAGAAGAGTGTCCCAGGGTGACTTTTCTCCTGATCCCCAAGGACCAACACAGGGTCAAGTACAGAAGGGCCCTATATAGGGCTGCTGGGTTGGCATCTCAGTGCATGTTTGTGCAAGTGAAGCAGAAGTCTTTATTCGAAAAATACTTTGCAAACTTACACTAGCTAGGTGTGAGAGACAGCGGTGAATGGGGAAAAAAAAAATCTGTCCTTTAAGGGTAGCATTTAGAGGGACAAGCAGACACCAAATAAGATTAATGTTAAAGCAAAATAAATAACTTTAGACAATGTGTTATGAATAGAACTAGACAGAGTAATCTAATGTAATATAATGGACACGACTTGAAGGGAGCACATGGCCAGAGGGGGTATCTCCGGAGAGATAACTTTTTAAAGTTGGTCTGAAATATAAGAGCCAGCCATAGGGGGATCAGCAGAGAGAGAATAGTAGGTGGTGGGAACTGCAAGGGCAAAGGCCTGAAGGCAGGAATGAGCTTAGCATGCTCAAGCCTGAGATGCTGAATGAATGAATGACGCCTCTGCAGTGAGAGTCACGGAAGTGGGGGTGGTAGATAGTTAGGGTGGCTCAAAACAGACTTGAAATGAGAATCTGGTGGTGGCCAAGGGATCCTTTTTGATGACAATGGTAGTCATTGCTGGCTATTAACTTTATGTATCCACATTCGAAGAAGTTCTTTTTTCTATTTTTCTAGCACTTAGGAAATCACTGCAGAGATCAGAAGTTACAGAGTCCCTGCACTTTTTAAGGACAGCCACGGGGATAAGGAACTTCGGTTTCCAGCCAGTTCTGTATCCAAAGGCTGATATGGAGTGATTTGGGTTGGGTAGGGCTGCAGGTGGAAAGATTTGGGTGAGAGTTTCAAAGGGTCTTTTGAGCTGAAAATGTAGCTGTTGTAGAGCCCATGCCTGTGAAGGAGGTCCTGGATTCCATACCCAGCTCAGGGCTGGGGAGGAGGTGTTGAAAAAATGTTTTAGTGGGCTGGGGATGTGGCTCAAGCAGTAGCTCTTGCCTGGCATGTGTGCGGCCAGGGTTCGATCCTCAGCACCACATACAAACAAAGATGTTGTGTCTGCTGAAAACTAAAAAATAAATATTAAAAAAAAGTTTGAGGGGACTTCAGGGGGAGGGGGTTGTATATTCTAGACCCTTCTGAGGATTTCTGTAAAAAAGAAAACCTGAGTCCAAAAATCCATTTTGCCTTTTGTGACCTTGGCATGTGGTCTACATTGTCCCCAAGAGTTTCTTCTGTCAGATGACACAGGTGCCTGTGCTTAGCATAGTGACTAGCACATATTATGTACTCAATAAAAATTCAATCAAAAGAACAGGAGTTATGGATAGACATGCTGCATGACAGAGAATTAGTCAGAAGGTCTTCCCACTCCCATGAACTAAGGACAGATATATGCATGGGATCAAAGGGCAGGCAGCCTTGCTATCCCCAGCCATGAATGACTAGAAATCCAGACCCAGTTTTCCCTCTGGCTTGAATGACTCGCTGCCTAGACCTGGGGGACTAAAGCTGCTGGTCCTGCAATGGCCCAGGCAAAATCAAGACCTGGATTTTCTGGCCACGGAGCTCAGGGACAGACCTGGTTAACTTGATCTTGGAAGGTAAGCCCCTGGGAGATCTTTACCACCCGAAAAAGTCCTCAAACCCAGCCTCATCTGCTAGCGCCCGCAAACATTCTAGAGCCAAAGAAAGGGCAAACTGGAGCTGCGGAATTCAGATCTTTGTCGTCAATGAAGACAGAGTTGCAAAGTCGCTTTGCGGAGCGGATGCTGCTTCTCCCTGAGATTAATGAATGGATGGCGCTATGGACGAGGGAGGCATACGAACTCGCGAAGCTGTTTGTAAGTCTGATCCCAACACACTCAGCAGACCTTTGGGCGCTCAGCGGTGGTGGGACATCCTAAGAAGGTGCACCCGTGAGTGTGAGTGTATCCAGGCACCGAAATAGTTAACTCTACCAGATGGAATAAGGAGGGGGCAGCCTTCCAGCGAGGGTCGGGTCGTCAGACCAAGTGCACGTGTGGGTTGGGTGGGTGGGTGAGTGGAAGGATGCAGGGCTGGGGGAGGGGTCTTGCGCGGGAAACAGAAGTCCCGCGTGGAGCTGAGCCAATGGAAGTCAGAGCCGGCTCCGAGGGCGGGGACATACCACATGCAGGCCCCGCCCCTTTCCTCCCTTTTCCGAGGGACCCGACGGCGCCGACCCAGCTTCGCTGCTGCTGCAGTTGATCTAACTTTGCGGCAGCTCCCTCCCTTTTCTCAGAACCTATTTTCCTAACCTAGCCCTGGAAGGAGGATGGAACCTGTGAAGAGGATTTTTGAGAGGCCTAGGCTCCAGATCTGGCCATTTGAGCTCACTTTGAAAGCAAATCAACTTTCCAACCTGTCTGGCTTCACTATCACCCAGACACCCGGGAAGTTCTTTCTGCCTTCTAATTTTCACTTTTCCTGCCACATTGACTGATCAGCTCTCTTTGGTCTCCGACCTTGGGAATGATGGACAACTCCCAGGTGAAGACTTGAATCTTCCCCTTGTTCCCCTAAGGTCCAGACTGAGATGGAACTTGAGTCTGGACCATACTTGGCTTTATCTAAATTCAAGAGTAGCAATCGTGAGGCTGATCTCCAAGAAGGCTCAGAAGGGCCAGACCCCAAGGTTTTGCCTTGGAGCAATGTTAAGGAACCACACTCACATCAAACCTCCCTATTAACCCCTCAGAAGCACAAGCCCAAGACAAGAGCAGAGGATCCTTCTCAGCTTCAGAATCCCTACCTACATTTGAAGTGGGAGCTCCTGACATCTGGATTTGCCCGCGCCATCCCTTCAACTCCACAACCCTCAGTGTCCCACTCCGCGCAGTGGACCCACGCCTCCTGCGCCTGCGCAGCCTGGAGACCAGCATCCTCTAAGGCTGCAAGGAGCTAAAAATCGCTCCCGCCCACCTACAAGCTGGGCTGGACTTGAGGATCTCGGTCGTGGGGAGGGGTGTTGTAGTGGAGGTTGGTGGAATGAAGAGTGGTGATGCTGCCTAGGTGCTGGTCCAATTAGGGCAGTAGGAAGAATCCTGGTGGCCACATAGGTCCATTGAGGGTGTGGGTCCCACGCCTCCGAAAGGGCTCCTGAGGTGGTGAGGGGCGAGGCCACTGCATAAACATGTTTACGGCTGCTGCAGCGCCGGTGGCCCCGAGGGGCGCGAGCCCTGGGGCAATAACTTTGCTAGAAGCCCCCACATTCCCAGACTGGCTAGACTCCAGGACGATGACTTCGACCCCATGCCCCTCCCCCGCCCGCGGTCCAGGTGCCCCTCCGGCCGGCCTCGAGGGGGAGCGCGAGGCTTCACCCCTTCCATCAGCTCCCTGGATCTCCGGGCGGC